GCCCGCCAGGCTGCCAGGGAGCAGCCGCCTGAAAGGGCACCCTGCCCTGGGCAAGGACCCCGCCGGGGCCATGGAACGGCAACAGGGATGGCGGCTCTTGTGCCGTGACACATGCAGGGGCTGAGGGCTAGGGGAGAAAAACGCAGAGAAAGAAAGTCTGCCCTTGGAGAATGCAGGATATATGAATTAAACCAGGACTAAGGCTATTTTCTCTTTGCACGAACTGAGTGCTRTAACAACCCCCTCCAGCATTTTGTGAGAGATAGACATATACCTCCTCTATTGGGATAAAAATACGCTGCACTCCAACGTTGCCACCTTCACACAGACATCTATAAATAGTGACTGTGCCTTGGTATTTTCTTCTCCTCCAGAAACATCTCCAGCTCCTCTTCCAGTTTGAGAAAGCGGATTTAGGCTGTGGGATCTTTCTGAAACCTCATTGCGAGGGCGCAGCCCGCTCGCACCTGACAGGAGGGACACGCTGTGGGTCCCCTCRCTGCGCCACAGCCTTCCCAAAGCAGCCCCAGCTGGACCGCGGGTTCGCAGGGCCCAAGCGCCGGGCGGCCCCGCCGGGCCGGCGAGTGCAGAGCGGCGCCTCCTGCCCGGGCAGCGGCTCCAGCCCCGGGGCTCCTTCCGCCGGGGCCGCCCGCCACACCGAGCTCCGGACCCCAAGACCCCCAAGAGGAAAGGAGCTACCCCGTGTTTTCTCCCCAACTATCAGAATTTGTCACGTTCCAAAAAAAGTTCAGCTCTTTGACTAGTTGTCTCCCACAGCCAGCGTGCAACTTGGATAGATTCATCACTGTTTCTTTTTTCCCTTTTGTGCATAGCTTTAGAATATTGTGTCTGCCGCAGGGAGACGGTGGTTCCTGCGGCGTCAGGGTGCCTCACAGCAGGCACCCTGAGAGACGCTGCCCATAACCGCAGCTCGCACAAGGGAGGGACGCGCCACCGAACACCGCTTGCTAGGGGCAGCGCTCCTGCGCGCAGGMCAGGCCGGGAGACGGCGCAGGGCGCTCCAGCCGGGGCCGGGGCGCAGGGCCCTGCGCTGGGTCCCGTCCGCACTGCGGCTCCCGGCAAACGCTCCCRGAGCTGTCACGGGCTGAACAAGGCTCCCAGCTCGTGGCCGTGAGCGAGGGGCACYGAAATGCCCCGTTGTCCTCACCAGCAGCACCACGCCAGCCCAGGGCTCTTTATCCTCCCACCCTGGTGCCGCTCTCAGCTCTCCCTAGCAGTGCACGGTGCTGGCCGCTGCTCCTAATGGCCATTCCCTGTCTGTTTAGTGCTGTCCGTGGGCTCCGTCGTGAACTCCTCTCTGTGCCTCTGCATGACAGGGCAGCAGGCTTCCTGCCCGTGCAAACCGGGAATATGCATGGGAAAGGGCTGCTCCAAGGTGATACTGCATGCCAGGAAAAACAGGATGACCTCCGCTGTGAATGGCGGGAGCCAGTTTCCCTGGTTTTACAAAATTAGGTACTGAACTGCAAACACATAAAAGTGTTTTAATTTGTTACCAAGGCAATGAGTCAGGCTCAGATGGCAAGCGAGGAATAGAAGTGCAGGGTTCGTCAGTGCTGCGCGCTCACCTAGTGCCAGGCGTGAGGCCTGCGACTCCTSGTCCCGCGCTCCACGCTCGGCCCTGGCGGCTCGAGGGCTGCCGAGCWGCAGCCGCCCGGGCTGAGCCGCTAACTGGGGTCCCTGGAAGGAGGCRACAGCAGAAGGGCCGGGCGGGAACCAGTTTCATCGGCCAGAGCAGCGGGGACCCATGGCTCCGAGTCAAGGTCTGCTCCTGCCCTTCGCTTCCGTGTTCTTCGCACAAGCAACACGGAGTGCTTGCTCCTGACTGCTGCAGTTGGGGCTGCCATTATTTTCAGGTAGTCAAACATCTTTTAAGAAAGTGGATATTTGAGCTGGCCCTTTCACTGAATTTGAGGAACCTTCGTTTTGTTTTGATGGCAGGATGGGGATACAATTTAGTGCTCTGGTTTTAAAAAGAAATAAATATTTATCCTTTGGAAATCAGATCACTTCAAGAGGCTTTGCTTTGGGTCCCAGACAAATGCTGTATCCAGAATGCAAYAGCCTTGCAGAGATGAAAAAACAAGCCTGTCTGGAGAAAACCATGTTTGCTTGGATCTTGCATACCCTAGTCTTCCCTGTCTTCCCTCGGGAATGGAAATGGGCAAAGGAGAAGCCCGGTTCCTCCTCTGACCCCAGGTCTGCGCAGGAGTCGACACGCGCGAGACTCTGCAGACAAGTTGCTCTTTAACCTGCAGCTAATGTCGGCGCAAGGCCCAGGGACGCAGGGCACTGGGTTYGTGGTGAACATTAATTTATCACCAATGTGCCTGGCAAGGAGAGGCTGCAGAGGAATGGAAAGCTGTACCATCATTAGGCACTTCTCTGAAACTACGTGAAAACAAAATCTCTGCTTGAAGGGGAAGCAGAAGGTGCAAGGCTCTGTCAGCTTGTAGCAGTGCTGGGAACAGGGCCCAGGGCAGGGCCTCGTGCGAGTCGGGAGCGCACGAAGCCGGCAGGAGAGTCCGTCATATCCCACTCCGAGCGCTGCAGACGCCCTTGGAGAAGGGAGCGSGGCTGCCCCTGCCCTTTGGTGGCCTGAGGTACGCAGAGAAGTTGGTGGATTTCCCTTTTTCTAGCAAAAGGGAACTAGTG